TCTCCAAGTGTTCCTCCTTGGAGACTCTCATCATGCAGGCCACTTCTCCTTGGGCCTGTTCTTGCTCCTTGTCTTTCAACTTCTGCTCTTGATCCTTCCCTCTTCCACACAAAATAACTTGTCCCCTTCCCTCTTCACTGAGGCAAACAATGAAAAGCCAGCCAGGTTTACGTATGATATATGTATGATACACACATGTCATACATGTGTATACTATACACGTACACACTTGATGACATAGGTCAAGTGTGATGAATCCTGAAAGAATCTCAGAATGTAGATAGAGATGTCAATTAAAATGGCCAGGGGATGCTGCAGAAATTTGTATTTATTGCAATATGCATATCATATTAGAGGAAAAGAGTAAAAATGACATGAGGGTCAGGGGATTTCAAGAATTTAATCTGCATCCTGAAGGAGTAATAAGAGTTGCATAGCAGAAATAACAGGTATTTCCAAGAAGAGGCACCAAAGAAAAGAACTGTTTATTGATCTCTCAGTTTGGGAAACAGTGGAAATGCAGCTAAGTTAGGGCCAGCCTATACATAGCATTAACGGTCACAGAAGAATGTTATACTTTCTCTTATCATTGAGCAATTCTTTTCTTTCTTTTTTCTTTTTTTCTTTGTTTTTCTTTTTTTGTCTGTCGTGGGGCTTGAACTCTGGGCCTGGGTGATGTCCCTGAGCTCTTCAGCTCAAGGCAAGTGCTCTACCACTTGAGCCACAGCGCCACTTCTGGTTTTCTAGTGGTTTATTGGAGATAAGAGTCTCACAGCCTTTCCTGCTTGGGCTGGCTTTGAACCTTGATCCTCAGATCTCAGCCTCCTGAGTAGCTAGGATTACAGGCATGCATCACTGGTGCCTGGCTTCACTGAGCAATTTATCCCATCTGTGTCTACTGATGTGTTAACAGAGGCCACAACATTCTATACAACATAGAATGGGGAATTAAAGACATCATGCACAATGAATGCCCAGCTCTCAGTGTGCATAAATGTGTATATGTGACTAGGTCAGCAAATAAAAGCAAGAACTACCAAGGAGCACCAAGCCAATGACCTTAAAGCCAAGAGACATCATAAATTTGTTGAAGACAAGACTTGGAGTCAGTAGTCCCTAGGAACTCCTAAAGCTCAGTAGACTTCTCTAAGACAGTGTCTCCGAGAAGAGTGTTTACCAGATGTGTGAGGGGTAAGAATATAGACTTCCTAGGGAACTCTACAAGGTCCAACAAAACTAGCTTTAAAAGTCTTTAAGGGTGCTAGGGCACTGTGGCTCAAGCCTGTAATCCTTGTTATTAGAAGACAGAGATGGGATATCATAATTGTACATAGGGGTGCATTTTTTTGAGAGAGGGGGACCTGGGTAAATATTGGGATTATGGATTGCAGTAGGAAGCCAGCATGGATAGAAAAGTTAGAGAGAATCCATCCTAATCAATGTCTGGGCACAGTCCCAGCTAGTGGGGAAGTTCAATTGCTAGGGATAGTGGTATGCACCTGCCATGTCTAGGAATGAAGGGACACACCCAGGTCCATCAGGAAGAAAGCAAGACCCATCTAAAAAATAACTAAGGCAGCAGGTGCTAATGGCTCATATCTATAATCCTAACTACTCACAAAGCAGAGATCTGAAGACCGTGGCTTGAAGCCAGCCTAGGCAAAAAAGAAAAAAAAAAAAAAGCCCAAGAGACTCTACCCCCAGTTAACCAGTAAAAATACCTCGCTGAAAGTATAGCTTAAGTAGTAGAGTGGCCAGTAAGGCCCTGAGTTTAAACCTCATTACAGGCACACAAAAAAATAGGAAGGAAGGGGATGAAAAGGTGCTGGAGGCCTAGCTCAAGTGGTAGAGTGCCTATCTAGCAAGCTCAAGGCTTGAACTCAAGCTTAGTTCAATCCTCAGCATTACAGAAAGAAAACGAAACAAAGAAGTCTAAAAAAGTCTATATGAAACCTAGCACAGACCTGTAACTCAAATTACACTACAAGAGAAATGTAAGGTAGAATAGGAAGATCAGGGTCCAAGATTGGCGTTTAACAAAGACAAAACAAAACAAACAACAACAACAACAACAAAAACAAAAACCAAGACCCTATCTGAAAAATAAAGTATAAAGGGCTTGGGATGGGACTTAAGTGGTAGAGTGTCCATCTAGCAAGCTCAAAGACTTGAGTTAAACCTCAGAACTACCATAACTAAATTAATAAAAACAAAAACACAAATAAAGGGATACAGTTCACTTTCCCTAGATTCCGTGAAAAGGCAGACACACAGATGCCATTAGTACTGAAAATGAAAGAAGGATGCTTGGAAACATAAGGCCAAGGGAAGTGGCACTCCCTGAAGGAAGGAGGAAGCAGGAAAAACAGTGACTCAAGAAAAATCAAAGCTGCCAAGAGGTTCAGCTTAGTTGTCCCCACACCAAGTGCTGGCTGTCAGTCACATCTTGTATGGAATGCACAACCTGTGAGGCTTAATAAATATTTGTTATGTTTGAATTCATGCTTCCTTCTCCTCCACTGCCTTATAGGATCCACCAAAGGACCAGTTCCTAAGGAGCACATCATACCTCATGCCCAAAGTTGAAGTGTCCCCAAATTGGCCCTCTCTCCTCAGATACTGTCCTGTCCAATCAGTCCAGTGACTGACACCTCCTGCCTGTGCATTCTATCTTTCCAAAATCACTTCTCTTGTCCTCATGTCACCATCCTCTCAGCCCTGTCCCCCCAAAGGCCCCATCTCATCTCATGTAACCTGAATTGGCGTTCCAGTTTCCCCACTTGCTTTCTCTCTTTGATCACTGTTTCCCCCAAAGCCTTCCCCACCTGAGATATTAGTCAGAACAGTAGAGTAGAAATTCGAAAATCATCCCAGACCTAGTTAAGCTGACAAGTTCCACAAAGCTCCCCCAAGTAATTCTGAGACCAAGACAGCCTGAATACTACTAACCCACACTCTCGTCATAGGTACCTTCCCAGGCAGAAATGCAGGTCCCACCTCTGACCTACTGAACGAAAATCTGCACTTGAGATTTCAGGTGATTCTCAGGCCTATGATAAAAGATTGAGAAATGCTGCTTTCTCAGGTGGCCTCAAATGGCTCATTCCACAAATATTTACTGTTTTTTTCTGTGGGACTAACAAAGGCCAAGGGCCAAGGTCTCTGACTTTGAGAAGTTCAAAGAACCCTAAATCAATATTCAATATTGACTCCCTTGCTTTTGAAGTCCAGACCGTGGCACCTGGCCTTCATGGCCAGCTGAGACCATGTTCTATCTGTATCACTAGCTTTTTTTTTTTTTTTTTAATCTACCAGCTGTTATGGGAGCCAAGGTGGACCACTGGCCACTTCTCAGGAGTGGTCCTAGCTTGCCTTGCTCACATCACCTTTATCTTTCTCTGCTGGGAGAAATCCAAGAGAAACCCCTTCCGTCCCAAATATATGTCACGCATTGTTACAATTATCTCAAATTTTCCCTGTTCATATAAAAGACTAAAGGAACTTCCACAACTTTGTCCCTGCCTTTTTTCATTTATTTCATTCCACTCAATCTTAAAATCATAGCATATTGGCCTTGACCATCCCCATAGGGATCAAACATTCAATGTTTTTCCTAAGTAGCAATAAGCTAATAATGGCCACATTACCAAATCTCAAAGAACTTCTACTACTAGCTAAAATATGCTATATAAGGGCTAGGGATATAGTTCAATGGTCCAGAAATGGCCTAGAATGTGTTAAATCCCCAAGGTTCAATCCTCAGCACTCACCCACCACCCCGCCACCCAAACAGGGAGTTTAGAGAAGCACTGGCTCCCCACCACACACTCTGTGCAGTTCTTGGATTCGAGGGCTCCCCGTTACCCCCAGGCAATGCCCAAGCCTGTAAGCCCAGTCCTGAAGTAAAATTCCAGAGAAAGCAATAAAAGACTCACAAATCCCCGCCTCCCACTTCAAAAGTAATTTAAAAATATAAACATAAACACAATACAAATGAGCTGCCTCTCTCAAGCCCAAGAGGGAAATAATTTCTAAATCGGGTCACATTTAGTATTTTCCACAAACTAACAATAATCGCAGAGTGGAACTAAATGCTCTCTGTGACCAACTACGTTTCTGCAGTGGAAACACCGAACTTTGCAAAATACACCATAAATAACAAACATGCCCGTTCTGTAATACAATTAAGAAAGAGGGGAGGACGGAGATGATGAGAAAGGAAGTAGACCAAAATATGGGAATGCATCTAAATCCAAGATCCAGATGCTCTTTAATATATATATATATATATATATATATATATATATATATATATGTGTGTGTGTGTGTGTGTGTGTGTGTATGTATATATATGTACTGGCTAGAATGCCTGTTTCAATCCTGCACAAACCTGGGCAGTCCTCCCATTTTAATAAATAATCTTATTTATTAGAGGAAACACAGTGGGCCTGGAGCGGAGGCATGCTAGAAGGGAAGAGAACCCATTTCACATAGGACCATTCCCAGTCCTGCACTGCACGGCGGCTTGGAGCCTTTGGAGAAGGCATGTGGCACGGCCAGCCACGGCAGAGCAGCGCTGGTTTCAGCCCAAGGCGCTTCGTACCTGCACACGGACTCGGTGACACAGAGTAGCCTCGGGAAAGGAAAAGGAAAAAAACAACAAGTCCCAAACTTCCCTACCACCTTGGGCTCCGGAGTTTACTCAGCTGCTGGCTCCCGGAACCAGGCTGAGCCTGCGATCTACCGGCTCAGAACTCCTGCGGTAACCGACCGCCCCCAGCAGCTCCAGGGCCGGGCTGGCACCTGTAGGAGGTGCGGAGGGTCTCTCTGATCCCCGGCCAGGGTGGGATGGAGGTCTGCCGCAGAGGCGCCTCCTCGCGCCCCCCCCCCCACACCCCGCCTTGCCCCACGTCCTGGGTTGGTTCTCGGATCCCCGCAGGCATTGCCCACCTCGGGGAGCCCAGTCCGGACCGTGGCGAGCCCAGGCCGAGGGCACTGACCTGGCTGCAGGGCCGCGGCTTCTCTCCGACCGGCTCAGGTGCGCGGCCGCTCCGCGTCCGGACTCCCGCCCGGGAACCTGAGAGGACCCGGCTCCCGGCCACACTGACGAACTGGCGGACCGACCAGCCCAGCGGCTGCCCGGGGCCGGCGTCCACGTGACGGGGGCGGGGACCACCCCTGCGGGAGGCTCGTCCGGGAGAGTCACTCTCTCACCCAGGGGACCTCCCCTGGGACCGCCCCGCTGCTGTCACTCACTCTTCCTCGCTCCGGGGTGTCGCGGTCGCCCGCTGGGACCCGGACGACCGGGTTCCTGTTCCTCTGGGACCGACCTGTCAAGCCCCGCCCCCCCGAGCCCGCCTCAAGCCCCGCCCTCCAAGACAGACCACGCCCCTCTGTGGAACCACGCCTCCCTCGTGCAGACCACGCCCCTCTCGCAGACCCATCTGCTTGCTGTAGTCTCCCTTCTTTTTTTTTTTTTTTTTTTTTTTTTTTTTTTTAATTTAATTTAATTTTATTCGTGAACATACTGTACAGAGGAGTTACAGTTACATGGGCAGGATAATGTGTACATTTCTTACCAAGCATTGCAGCCTCCTCCTTTGTTTATCCTTCACATCCCTTCCCAGCCTCCCCCCTCCCCCCCTAATCCCAATCCTTCTCCTTCCTCCCTCCCCCCAGCCCCCCCCCCCCACCAACATTGTAAAGTTCGTTTTGGACATGACAACTTGTACTTCTCATTGTTGCAACAGGTCCACCTGTATCCTTAAACAACTGGTTTTTCCCCATCTCCTCCACAAGTTATACTGACATCAAATATAGTGAAAGCAAGGGTTATACTGTGGGGGAGGGACATACAAAGCAACAAAGAGATAATCTTATAAATGTGTTAGAAACACATGCATGAAAGAAAAAAACATTAAAATACACATCTAAGGGTTCATTTTCCTGACATCACATTATCTGACCTTTTCCGCTTGACTCATATATATACTAGATATTACAAATAAGGGAAACCATGGGACCTACGTTTCTTTGGGCCTGGCTTACTTCACTTAATATAATTTTTTCCAAGTTTTTCCATTTCCTAACAAATGGGGCAATGTCATTCTTTCTGATGGAGGCATAGAATTCCATTGTGTATATACCACATTTTCTTGATCCATTCATCTACTGAGGGGCATCTGGGAAGGGTAGTCTCCCTTCAAGCTGCGAAGAGGCCCAGCCAGGACAGGTTCCCCTATGTAAATGAGGTGCTCTAGGTGTCTGGTCTAGGTGTCTAGTGGTTGGTGGCAAAAAGCTCAGTGCTCAATCTTGAAAAATGGCTAAGGACCAGGAGCACTTCCTGTGCCCAGCACCCTAGGCCCAAGAAAAGCTTTAGTGATGAATTCTCAAATCAAGGAGGACTGGGTTTAGCATTTACCCTGTATGCAGCCTCAGGTTTTGCTGCCAGTTGCCCTGCTGGCGCCTCCCAGGACCCATGGCTCAGGCTAGCTGATTAAAATCCCTCATGGGCTTCAAGTGGCAGTAACATCGGGGACTCTGGCATAGTCCCCAGTTGGGGCAGGAGTCACCACAGGACTGGCCTCTGTGTAAGCTAGAATGTTGACAGACCATGGGGGCACATCTTTTTTTTTTTTTCAAACCAAATTAACCCTAATGATCTGAAAGTACTAGTGTGCCCAGAGATTTGTACATGTGAAGGAACATAAGTTGCCTTGGCAAACAGTACACCGGTAGTCAGTCCCTGCAGGAACCTGACCAGCAACAGAGAAGGAGTAAGCCAGCCAGGAAAGCTGGGGCCCACAAGAGTTGTGTTACAGCAGGACACTCTTCAGTTTTCTTTTCACTTCCTTAAAATAGCAGCAGAGGGACTTTCTGACAAGGAGCCTGTTGCCACAGTTCATGTGAGTTCATGGGTGTTTCCAAATCCCACATGTGCTATCTCAAGAGACTTGCTGCCTTTACCTTGGTCCCCTAGAAAACGCTAAGTTGTTTTAGAACTATATGATTGCTTTATTGTTGTTATTATCCTTAAGTGGTTGTACAAGGAGTTTCAATTCAGATGTCAGTTACAGGCAGCAATTACTTTTTAAAATATATTAAGTAACTGGTTCTCAAGCTTATTTGAATTTTGGAACCACCTTGGGGAAAGGGGTTTAAAAATACTAATGGGGATAGAAGGGGGAGGGGGGAGGATCTTAACCTCCTGAGGGTCTGCTTTAATGGATAGAAGTGTGACCTGGATATTAAAACTCTCAAAAGCTTTCAAGGTGATTCTTATGTGCCACAAAATTTAATAATCACTGCTGTAGGTCACATAGACATTGATGCTCATTGGAATCCAATAGAAGACACCAGAATGGAAATGTACACCTGAAATTTACCCAAGGTGCTTGCAAGCCTGCATGCTGTCAAGCAAAGGGGCATAAACAGAAGCCTCCAGGAGAAACTGTGTTGACCCAAAAGAGGAATTCTAGGTGCAGGAATTCAAGGTACCAGGGTGAGTGGTTAGAGGCAGGTGTATCTTGCATATCTGTCAAATGCAAGCACATCCCAAAGGGAAGCCAGACAGCACATTACAGACACTCTCCTCTTCCTCAAAAGGAACTATACACACACAAATCCCTCCTGCACATATGGTTGGTAATTCCAACTTGTATTGTGAGGCAGCAGCTTTCTGTGTATTTGCGAAATAGGTAATGTGACTTTACCCATGGGGCAGGTAATAGCCACAGACCTATAAAGAGAATACTATCCCCTCATCGACCCATTCATACTTGCCTCTTTTCACAAAAGATGTGGGCTCTCTATGCCATTCCATTAAACTGGGAGTCATTACACAGTACCCATAGATTGGGCTATTCTATTTTGCTGAAGATCTGTTTCCCATAAGGGAAAAGAAATCTCTCTTCATGCCTATGATCCTGACTGAGGCTTGGCAAAGGCAGGGAAACAGCTGCAAGTATACAAAGCAAGTCCTCTCATGTGACCAACCTGGAAAGACAGAGGTCTCAGCACATGACACAGACTGGCACTGCAACCTGCACTTGTGACCCAAACTCAGCTGAATTGGACACATACACACATGGGAGACACTTTAAAGAAGCCCCTCTTGAGAGGCAGGCTGCCCTCTGAGCCACACAGCATGCCTGCTGTGGCAGAATGACTTGCCTGCTATCTGGCTTCCTTCCAGATTCCAGAATATTTACTAAGAGCCTCTGTGCGTTGGGGATTGTTCATAGTAAACTCAACACAGGCAGTACTCCCTGAAAGTTATTGATGCTGAGGGTATGTAGGCAAATACAACTTGATGAGGTTATTTGCTCAATGTCATTTTTATTGTATTTAAACCAAAAAGAGAGGAGCAGATGACAGTAAGACAAGATGAGGCTAGAGGTGGGGGTCTTTACCCTCAGGCTGGGTTTCTGTAGGAAATACCTATAAAAAGGTATTTTGCAGATGTAAAAACTTGGCAAAAGGAAGAGACTATTATTTTAAAGCTGAACCAATGAACACATTGATTATAAAGGGTGGGGTGAACAAATAATACATATTTGATATTTCCTTGGGTGATGTAAAGACCAAAAGATTTGTGGTATTTTCTAGCTCTTTAATTTTACAGTTGTGCTACTTTGAATAACTCACCTACATATTTCTCCTCATCACAGCAATTTGTAAAGACTTGTACACATCTCACAAGGTTGGAAAGGAAAATAATGTACAGATGTTGTCATTAGAAAGTAGCATTCAAAATGTTCATGTTCTTACTCTATTACTATCTCTACCAACTTGGGGAAAGCACAAATAAAGAAGAAAATAAATGTCAATAAGAAATAATAATTTAGCTGTAGGATAAAAAAAAATTGAAAGGGTGTTTGTAAGCATTTGAGCCTGATCAAAGGCCAGAGGAGAAAAAGCCAGTAAGTATCAGAGGGAGGCAGGATTCTGATTATTTGAGGAGGAGAGACAGATTTATAACAAATGAAGGAAAGCAGAAAAAGAAGGCTGGAAATAAGCTCAGAAGGTAGGACACCTTGGGGACTGGGGGTGGGAAAGAAAAATAGATGTTGAAAATTCCTAAGCTCCTGGAAACTAGCTAAGTCTGTGACATTTGGGAAAGACATACGTATATTCACTCTTCGAGACCTATTCCTGGGTGTGATAAGAGAAATGCTACTACATCAAGGGGTTGTGGCTTCAGTGTCCTGGACAGCCATTTTGCTCTCTCTCCTAGAGGCCGTTCACTATTACAGAGGCAGCTTTCTCTTTGTCTGGAGTTTGTAAATGATCTGGTTTCCTTCATTCCATGCATAGAGCTGCTTATCCCTGGGGTTGTAATGGATCATGGAGTGCGTTCTTGGCCGCCTGGGGAAAATCAAGTTGGGCAGATCCTCTTCCCTGATAGTCCCCAGGGGATCATAGGTGCATGTGATGCGATGAGGGCCCTGGCCACCAGAACTATAGACTACGTAAAGAACCCCACATAAGAGGAATGAGGCTTCCGCGTCCTGGCTTTGGCATGGTGTGTCCCATGAGTGCTCCACTCCAAGTGTGCCAGGCTCAATCTTTGTGAGAACCAAATGGCCTTGGATACCTGGGCCGGAGTGGATGGCCCAGAGTCCATGCTCATCCACAGCCAGGTCAATGTAAGTGGACAGAGAATGCTGGTAAACCAGCGCTCGCCCTGCCCCTCCTGGGAGCAGCATTCGGTCTTCCACGGTCCTCTTCTGTAGATTATATTTGATGATCTCATTAGAAGTTGCTTGGTTGTGAAAAAATAGAAAGCCTTTGTAGACCACTTGACCTGAACCCTGCCAGGAGAGAGGCAGAATTAGCTTCCGTGGGGCTGGCTTGGTGCTGTCCTCCATGAATGCTCGTAAGTTTGCAAATTCCCAGACAGTATTGTTTCTGGATCCAATTAGGAAATACACCTTCGCAGACTCACTGCCAGCATCTTTCATCCAAGAGCCGTCTGTGTCCATTGTCTTCTTCACTATTTTCAGGGACTTTATACCCATCAGCATATTGTTACAGCCTGTCCAACCAAGAGAAATAGAAGGGAGATTATTTTATAAACATAAGGTATCTACTTTCTGGAAGTCTCACCA